CATTTTTTTTTTCAGTTTTATTATTATTATTATTTTTTTTTTGTTGTTCAATAGAAAATTTAAAAGGAAAAGTTTTTTTTTTGGTTATATTTTTAAATCAAACAAATATCAGTGATCATAATAAAATAACAAATCTTTACCACTGCTTATTTGTTGTTAAACAGATTAGAACTAATGATGGTATACGAGATGAAGAATCGATGGATAATTTTTTTGTTCCTGTCGCCAAGAGAGCAAATGCAGAAATTGTGCATTATTTGAATACATTATTGCGGTTACAAGATCAACCGTAAGTCTTTTTTGCTCCGTTCACTTTTCACTTTCTTTCTAATCCAGTCAACTTCCTACACATATAATTTTCTGTGATAGTTTGCTGTCAATTCAGCTATCAAAATTATGAGGATAGTTTCTGTTAGCTGCTGTTAGTTTTTTAGACGACATAGTTGTTGTTTTTAGTCTTCATTTTCAGACCCTTTAGATAGAGAAATATCTAAGGATTGCTACATGGCCACAATGAACACAAACGAAAAATCCTCCATAGCTGTGATCATATGGATAGAAGGACAATAAAATTTTCGAGACGCTCCTTTTTTTCCAAGATGTTCGTTATTGTAACCGTTCAAGAACTAATATTTTCGAAAAAATGGAACAGCATCAACAACAAATAGAAAAATTGCTTCTTGTCTTTAAAATTTTCACCAAAACTTTCGACAATTTAGCAACGGTCAAAAAACCAAAAAAAGATTCTATGGTTTTGATTGCTCATAAAATACATCAATTTCATTTTTTGTCTATGTTTGCATGAACATAAAGTGAATATATGCAATTGTGACTTCAGCATCATAAAAAAAAAATTCTTTTATTTTTCCATTCACATAAAATATGGCAGTCCTCAAGTTTGACACCTGGAGAAACTACAAGTGAATAAAGTAACCTTATCATCACCTTTAAAATCTTAACGAAAAATTACTATAATGTTGATATTAGAAAAAATAAAAAACAAAAACACCAGCAATTGTATAATTTAGTCATTCTATACAAGAAGTTTATAAAAGTAAATCATAAGTAATACGCAGTTGTACTACCATCTTAACAGCTTCTGGCAACAATAACCTCGGTACGTCCGTACCGCTGCTTGCTTCTCCCAACTATCAATCAGCAATGTTGGTTTGAAGCTGTTAAATTTTACAATACCTCATCTAACAGCAATTATTCGCAACCCCATGAATGGTGATCAACAAAATATGTTCTGAATAACCGTAAAATTAAGCAAGCAGACGCTGAATCATTTCGACCTTCAGCTGACACAGCAGCAGTTCTAAGAAATATGTTTCACGCACTTATATTTGAAAAACCGAGATGCATTTGCAGTTAATGTTTTTTTTGAAAAAATTCATTTAATTTGATGTCGAAAAAAAAAAATGCTAATTTGTCAAAGTAATCGTTGTGCGTCATTTCGTTCAAGCGTAAAGTCAATATCTACAAATTTTTATCCTGAAAGCTTTCTAATTCTATACACAGACAACGATTACATCGTTGCTATGTAATAAGCAATCAGAGCAAACTTTCTTTTCCAGTTCAAAAAGAAAAAACCATGCAAAAACTTTCCGGCATAGTTGTTAAAATTCCTGTTGTAAAGTTGATCATCCATAATCGATAAAATTCCAATACCTTTTCAAATAACTTGCAATCTTAAAAAAAAAACACTTGACTGAAACAATTCACAGTGATTAACCTTTAGAGAGATTTTGGTATTCAATAAAGCAATGTTGTGTTGTCAGTTGTGCACTGGTGGTTTTCCCGAGTATGTTGCCATTTACAACGTTTCTTCTAAGCGGCTTTTTAATGACAATAAGTTCCGTTGCTCGACAGACACACCAAATAGTGTCAAGTAAAGCAAGTAATTTGCAAAACTACTTCCACTTCTCGGAAACACCCCCCTAAACCGCCCACTTTGCCCACTGAAAAATTCTCAACTTCTATATAAAACTGATACAGAAATCTGAAAATTTTTTTAATTTTTCTACGTAGTCACATTATATTTTTAAAAAAATGCCTCGAAAAAAAGCGTGCAAAAAAGCTTCAAGTTTTTGTGAAAACAAAAGTAGATTAGATTTTATGGCGATAGGGCTCATTCCAGCTTCCACTCAAGAGATACAACTGCAAACTTACCCAATTTTTCAAAGTGCATCTTCACAGAACACAAGTAAGCCACTTATTCACTTACAATTAAAATTGTTGTTTGAACCACTAATTTAGGAGTCTTTTAAAAGATGGATCCATTAAGAAATTACAGAGTAATCCATGCTAATATTACGCCAGCGTTATATACATAAGCAATGCAAAGACTCGTCAACAAGTTGAAAAACTCCTGCCTTTTACTACTCAAAACGTTATCGATATCAAGGCACAGGCAGAAATACACATTTTCGTCAGACAATGTCAGCCTATGAATCGTTAAAACTACTGAACTACTAAAACCTTACAAATTGACAGTTGGATGAGTTCTGACTTCCCCATTAAACTGTAATATTCAAGACTGAATCAATGAAAACCAAAGACTTACAATTAAGCGGCAGCAAAAATCAAACCCTTTGAAAGAAGCTTCAGCACTACCACATTATCTTAAAACGTAACCTGCAAGAGTCACATTGCTTTGAAACAATAACGATAACTCATAACTCCATAACCCTAAATTTTTGGAAAAAACTCTTCTAAAATTTAACCGTTATCCTTACTGATTCAGAAAATCACTCAAAGAACATTTGATAACTAGTCCTCCAGAAAGGCCAGCGGAGACAACACATTCTGAACCCGTATAACACGTGGCTATTAAATGAACAAATCATCAAAAGATCAAAGCTCAAATGCCCACTCACCCTGGCCCACAAAAACCACTCAACAAGCTACAGATTTCAACCTTTTTGAGATAAGCGTGGGCGAAAGCTTCAGGTCGTAAGACTTCTCAGCGCGTACTAATAATTGCTTGTAGATTCAATACGTAAAAATATGATGACGAACCGTCGTCGATTCTAAAAGACTCAAAGACCCTGGACCTTCAAAGGTAGGATAATGGAAAAAAGCTCAGAGGGACTTCTCACAAAAGTACCCTCTAAAATCCAAAAAGCCACTACGTTTTCATTTTTAACCGTGCACTAGCAGCATAAGAGATGTCTTAACCTCCTAATTTGTTACCAAATACTGCAATAAGTATCAACCAGCTAATTTTTCCAGGAAATCAGCTTTTGCTGCATTCTGATTACCTCTAATAGCCGAATTCGTGCTATTCATTTAATGAAAGTAGTCAATCAAAAACTTTTATAGCAACAGGAATAAATGGATAACAACTATGGAAACTTTGAACACTGGTCTAAAAAATACCATAAACATTCACGAATCTTCTGATAATGATGAAACAACAGCTTTCATAAACCCTGCAGTAATGACGAAACAATAGCTGAGGATCAAACTTTGATCCCAACGACACAGAAAATAACAAAAAGTAAACATTAAAGAACTTGCAATTGAATACAACGAAGAACAAATAAAAAAAATCTCACTCTGCCAAATCAATGACATATAATAGCGACTAACAAGTTTGATGAATCTTTAAATGAAAGATCAGGCTAGACCAAAGTATAAATAAATATTTAATCACTGACTCGACGATCTTTCTGGTTTCATTTACCTGCCCACTTAATAATGCAAAACCTCTCCCTATAAAGTAAAAAAAAAATATAGGGAGAAATCTGAATACTTCACCAGTTAGAATGCCTCTTATAACCGTGTAACAACAGAGACCTTTGTGGGCCTGATAGAACACTTAGTTAAAAAAACAACACATATATATCGTAAACGCTTCCTCAATAGCCTTGAAATTGTTTTAAAGAAGTTTGGTACAAAAATCAAGGGCTTAAGAAACCATAAACCAACAACAGAAAATAAAAACTTATATCATACCGTTTCCATCACTATAACTGATGGAAATACAAGTACATTCAATGAAGTAAAATAAAATTGTTGTAATAATAAATTAGTCCTACCTATTCCAGCGAAATAAAAAACTTCACAAAATTCTGTAAGCGACTGGAAGTAACAGTAAATTCAGCAAAGATTGTGATAACACTATAGTTTTGTAATTGAAAACGGAAGCTGGCACAGGAGCGGTAAAGATTAGAAACATTTATACAAACCTACTACTGCATTTAGCCAATTTTTTGCACTTTCCTTAAACCTGTATTATCCTGTTCCTTCAGATGAAATTTTTGCATGATCATGTTTGCTGCCTGAAACAATCCATATTTTTTATACTATAAGTCGTTTACAAAACGACGATAAACCCGAGGAGAACAGAAACATTTTTTAAGAAAATTAGGTTTACTAAAAAAAACAGCAAAACAATGCATGATAGCGTCACAATTTTTTGACTAAGATGTTAAAAAAAAAAACAAAATTTTTTCATACGTTGATAAGTATGATGGTGCGATCCATAGTTTGTTGTATACCACTGACTGCAAGGTCGCAGTGGTCGGGATCTATTAGCCCCTGACAAAACAAGAACTGGACATAATCTGAATAGACATCCAAATACAAAGACATCTGACTCATCCGATTCAGTACTATCCGTATAGAACTTAACTCGTCAATAAAATCCTCTTCAGAGGCATACTGGGCAACAACCTGCTGCATTAATGCAATTGCCTGAAACGTAAATAACAACGATATTCAAAAATAACTCTCTTTTCCCCAAATTTATTTTAGATGCCTGACCAGTAAACCCGACAGAAAATGTGAAGAAACTTAAATAAAAACAGTTCAACTGACATTCTTCAAGTTCGCGTGGAAATCGATAGAAGAATTATGCGAAGCCACCAGTTGGTCTTCGAGCTAAAAGGCAGAAATCAAAGCAGCAGGATGAATTATAGTTAGAAGAAAGTTGACAAGATAAACGCAAATCTGCACTCCAAAAACAAATCCTGAGCAAAAAAGAAATCAATGAAACCAAGAAATAAACAATCTGTAGTTCCAGCAACAAAGACAAGTGAATGAAGACGTAAAGAAACGGTCTGATGACAAGAATGTTGTTGTAAAACTACGTTTTAGCAGAGGAAAATCAAGAAATTATGAAGAGAATATTGTGACTACTGAGTCTTTTTCATCTTTTCATCCTCTCCAAAATCAATGTTCCATACAAAAAAAAGAGTACTGATCTAACTTTCCAGAATTCCCATGAAATTACAATTCCCCACCTATAACAAAAGGCAGGTCAATTTGCTCACTTCAAACCAGTGAGCAGTGTACTATGACGACTACTCTAATTTAAAAAAGAAACCATCAAGTAAAATACAACAAACTTGAGCAAAACTCAAGAAGCGAATTGTTTTAAGCAATAAACTTACGCAAAGCCGGCGAGACCGTTGTTCAATAGATTCCTGAGTTGCGGTTTCAGGCTGACAATCTTTGCCATTTGTTTCAGTCCTTTTACCTTTTTTTTGCTTCCTCGGCATGATAATCAGAGAACGACTGCTGTTTCCTTTTCAACGTATCAGGTAACAAAAAAACGTTCTGACCAATAAAAATCTAGAAAGTAATGAATAAACAACATTTATTAAAAATCATACGTCAATTTTCCATCACCTGTGGAAGCTTAAAGATACAAAACAAAGAAAGGAAAAAAGACCACATTTAGCTTATTAAAAAACTACAGACTAAAGATTTAGAGTTTTTTACTTCTGCCTGCAGGAAAAAATTTAGTGTTTTTATAAAATAAAGTAAGAAAACTGTTGGAGACAAAAAAAATACCAAAGAAGAAATTAATTTTTTTCTACAAATATATGCACTGGTTTACTGTTTCTACGGGAAGGCAACTGTCGTCGACGGTTCAGCGGAAAATTTGAAAAAAAAGTGTTTGATCAAACAGCTTTTTTTCTTTTTTTCAAAAAGTAAGGCGAAAGGCAACTGGAAGAACTACCTACTTGACCAAGTGCTCAAGAATCCTCTCCAGGAAGAGCAACAATATCGGCTGTCTAACAACTGATGATCGTCTGTCCCGCTGAACAAGCGACTGCATTTTTGCCTGTTTAGGGGGGTCGATTGCAGCATTTGCCGCTTGATCTCTGTGCGGGAATGATCATCTGAATTAAAGGGATAACCGCTTTGGCAACAAGCCAATCGCTTCAATTTCTATACTTACAGTTTACTGTCAGCTCGCTAGTGTAAGCATTGACGTTGGTGTCAGAGAAGTGTGCAGGAACAGAGAAGGGCAATTTAACTGCCAGCGGTTGCCAGCTTCTTTCCTTCACCTAAACAAAGCAACTGAATGATAGTGCGTGGATGTTGTTGCTGTTTATGCATCTTTTTTTTTTTTGTTTCGTGAAGAACTGCTATAGATCGGTTGTTCTGCTAGACGTCATTTTTCGAATTTTGATCAGCAGTCTGATGATGATTTGTTTCGATGACGATATTAAGTTTGTTTTTTTCCTTGTCAGCCATGTTTCTTTTCTTCGGAGGCGCCATGTGGTTTTACTGATGCAGAAAAACAGCGGACAAATAATAAAAATAAGTGTCATAATTGGTAGAGAAATACTCAGTGTGAAATGAAAAGATTGAGTGCTTTTTATAACCCCTTTAAAAGTTAATTCTTGACACTCTTGAATCTAGGATGGTCTAAAAACTGCATTTTAGAAATGGCATAATGAAACAAGTTGTTTACTGTAAGGATTTAGTCGTTTCGATCCTAAAAACTACAACAGTTCTCTTGTCGGCATTGGTGGTGATTAAATTAGAATGCCGAATAACTAAGGAATACATTTTATGCAAAATGCTGTAATGTGGGACCGCGCTTCACCGTGAACGAAATCATCAGTCAACTGCAAGGAAAAAAAGCGAGTAAGTTATTTGTTTAATTTTTTAAAAGTTTGCTTGTCTTTATCTGCAAACTTATGTGGGCAAAAAATGTAGCAAATTCAACAGATTTTCAGGAACAGCCTTCAGTCCACAATTAATTGACTTTTAGCTTGATTTACTGTTGGATGGCTTCTTTTTTTTTTGGGACTCCTTGGGCACATGAGTGATCTTTTTCTTAGGATGATTTTTTTTTCTGGTATCGATAATCACAATAAATGGTCGGAAAAGTGGTGCAAAACAGTCTTTCAGTAGGTAACCAGAATTACTGTTGCAATTCAAATGAATTGTGTATAGTTTAATGTCAAAGTATTTTCCTTATTTGGAAAATTGTAATTGTTAGGATGAGCAGCTGTACCAGGAATAAACGTCAAAGTTTCTTGATCACTATGAAGTAACTAAATTGATTGGTGCTAAAATGATTTCTACGTGACTGTTTTGTATTGATGCAGTATATTTTTTTTGCTTCTTAATTGAAAAGCATAACTGTTTTTGAAAACACATAAGAAGGTACTTTAGAAAGATGTGACGAATGAAAAGAAAACCCATGTGGGAAAAAAAAAGTAAATGTATGGCAAATGTAGTGTAGTTGTCAACTTGCTCCAGTTGCTTTTCCCGTTCTTTTAAGTTCATCACAGAATACACATTAAGTGTTTATCTGGTGTTTTTTGAGTAACTATTCGGCAACAAAAAAACGAAACCAGAAATGATGCATTCTGGACTGTTCCAGGTATGATTATCACTTGTTTGTTGTTGAATAAACAATCGGTCAGTAACGTTAAAAAGGATGATTTAACGCATCTGGTCTAACTAGGACTATCATACTTTTCCAACCTAAGTATTAGCAGCGATTTAACTGTGGTACGTTGTAGTAATCAAGATAAACTGGTTCTCTTGAAATGTCGTTGACGGAATGAGTTACACAACCAACTACGGTGAGTGTATAAAGTAATCAGTGGTGTTCAAGTTCGTGTGTTTACTCGTTGCAGATTCCTGGATGGTGTATAATTCTGATATTTAATCAAATATGTAATGGAAAAGCGCCCTTCTGTTTTGCTCATTTCATATACTTTTCAGGTATTTTTGTGCCCATTCTAAGTAACTTCTTTTTCGAGGTATTTTACTTAAAAAATTTAAGCGAAGTCAGGTGTGTTAATCACAATACAGTTTAACGAAAAAAAGATGGAAAGGGATAAGAGGCGATAGTGAGGAAGGTTGGAAAAATGATGGAAAAAATGATCAAAAAAGTTTTTTAAGACCGTTTAATGAAAACAGTGAGCGTAGAAAAAGCAGCTTTCAAACAATACAGTGAAGAACTATTCAGGTGAACTTTGCAATTAACTTTTAACTTTATCTTAGTTGGTCCAAAATGTTTAGAGTTCATCGGAAAAATTATTCGAAAGGAGAAAGCAAACAGAAATAAAATGAAAGAATTTTAGTTTGAAAGGTATTAAAGGGTCTCCAAGAAGAGTTCTCATCATTTTTGTCATTTATCCAACTTTCTGCTGGAAACAAACTGTTTGCGAAATGTCATTCACTTTTTACATTAGTGGCTGCGTGTCGACTTCCTTTTTAAGCGGATGAAGGCTTTGTTGTATATTATTGCTTCAACGTTATTCCATAATATCTTTTAAGGATGACAGTGATTTGCTTAGTTTACCTACGGTTCTTTGGCATTTTTTACCTCTATGGATTAATTTAATCTGCCATTTCTACAGTGCTATTAAGCGGGACCTGCTAATTACCTAATTTACTACTCGAGGTTGTCTCTGTGAGACTAGAAAGTTAAAAATAAATTATCGGTCTATTTTTGTCATTATTAATAAATTGTCTCCAGCTTCAAGCATGGGTAGTGTCTGAGTTTAAGTCATAAATTTTTGTCAAAAAATTAGTCTGTGATTCTTTCTTTTTGTGAGAATGTAAGCGGTTATAAAAATACATCGACCTCATTTTCGCCCTCACGGGATAGATTTAAGTGGTTATAATTCAAAAAAAAAAAGCACAATGAGCACAAAATTTTGTTTAGTGGAACTTCACCACTAAATTAATGGAAAAGTCTATTGGTATTGATGAAGTCTTACCTGCTTGGTCATTAATTTATTATGATTTTCTTGGCATTTGGTCAAAATGTTTGCAAAAGGTAAAATTTTTGAGCAAAGAAAAAAAAAATTGTGGGAAAAATGTAAAATATAACCGATGTTACTGTTAAGGATTGGGAAAAAATTTTTTTTTGCTGTGAAACAAATTTATGTGTCGGTTTTTGATGTAGTTGCAACATTAAAATTCAAAACAGAATAGTTTTTGCAGTGAACATTGTCACAGTTCCTTTTTTTGACTTAAAAATTGTTCCACGGAGTAATTGAAGGGATTTGACTGTTTAAGTACAGCTTGTCCTCTCTTTGTAAAAGCGATTTTTATTTTAACTAAATTTCATCTTTTCTTTTTAGTTAAAATTTATGGGGAAAAAATAGTTAAACTTTAGTGTAGAGTTTCTAGTTGCAATTTATCTTAGCTCAGGGACGAAACTCCGAACGGAAACGGATAGGAAGGGTCATATTGTGTAGTTTGTCTGGGTTGAAGAGTATTCATATTGCTAAGTAATCTATCTGCAGTACTTTAACAATTTTTTTAGTTTCATTCAATAATAATACTAATGATAACAGTAATAAGAATAATAATAGTAATAACAGCAACAATAATAATGTAATTTTAATTTAAAAATTCAGTTTTGTACGATAATCTAAGGATGTTTTAGTAATTGTTGATGTTCTTTTACTATCTAAGTAGCGGCAAAAGCAAGACAGTATTGAAGTCTTAG